AAAGTAATAAACTGAATAATTCGATCAATATTAATCTTTTCATACAGTTGTTCCATTGTCAGAGTGCCTAAAATTTCAAACAAAGCCCAATTTTCTTCCAATGTACACATAAAGCCCATTTTTTTTTAATGTAGAAAAAAATTCTCTTTTAAATAGATATGTTAATTGACTTACCAAGTCTGGGTAGAACAGTAGACTCCCAGGGAATTTCACAGCCACCTGGTGTTCGAGGTGTGAATCCAGCGAGAGAGAGAGAGAGAGAGAGAGAGAGAGAGAGAGAGAGAGAGAGAAAGTGTAGCCGCTTGAGCCCAGTCAAGCCTTGGCTTTACAGGCAGGGGCCCTGTTCAGCAGAGCAGGTCTGAGTTGTTTGTAGCAGTTGCAAGTAGCTCCAGCTGCGGGTCAGTCAGGCCTGGGCCCAAGCTAGGCAGCCGGGCCGCCCAGGCTGGAAACCGGACCTGCCGCCAAGCCAAGCCAAGCGGTTTTTAATGAATTCTTGTCACGTTGGGCGCCAAATGTAGATGTATCCAACCTTCTTATTAAATAATAAACACAGAACCAATGCAAAGAAGAAAGCCAAGAGGTCAGAGCTAAGAGCTAAAACCTTACCCTTCCTCCTGCGGTGGTCCTACCTCTCCGAACCAGAGCTACCCCTGTGTTAAAGTCTTTATATAGAGTTCCTGTCCTGCCTTCTCATTGGTTGTAAGCCCAACCACATGACCGCCTCCTCACAGCCTGTCTGTATAGGCCTCCAGGTTTTCCATGATTGGTATTAAGATTAAAAGCATGTGTATCCAATAATGGCTGTATCCCTGAACACACAGAGACTTACCCAGCTCTGCCTACCAAGTGCTGGAATTACAAGCGGAAGCTACCACTGCCCTGCTTTCCTATGGCTTGCTAATAGCTCTGACCCCCGGGCAACTTTATTTATTAACATACAAATAATATTTTAATACAAATAAAATATCACCATAGCATTGTTATTAACTATCCATCTAGCTAATCTAATTTAAAATTTACGTTAAAATCAAAATTAAAGAGATGGATATCATTTAGAAATATGACAAGATCCAAAGACTAAGAGAAAGGAAGCCAGCTAAAGGAACACTGTCAGTGCTGGCCTCTTGGACTGGAGTGCCCTGAACCCTACAGAGAGTGAGAGACCTTCAAACCCTAAGCCCTAAATGGAATGTCTCCATCAAATCCCTCCCCCCAGGGCTCAATGAACCCCGAGGAAGAGGAGGCAGAAAGAGCGTAAGACCCAAAGGGAATGGATGACACAAGGAAAGAGAAGTCAAGGTCCTCTAGTTGCACATGATAGATGCACATATGCCTCCGCAGAGACTGCGGCAGCATGTACAGGGCTGAAAGGAGACATGAACGCATGTCCCCATCCCTAACCCAGGAGCTCTCTCCAACTGCAGTAATAATTAAATGCAATGATAACCACTTTGATAATTTAGTTTCCTCCAAAGGGAAAAAGAGTACAAAAGCTACTCTTAAGGCAGGCTGCATGTCCAGCAGTAGCTGGCCAACCGAAAATGAACTCAAGGGAATTTTTGTGGGTTCCCTGTCTCAAATTGTCATTGCAGAGCTTTCCATACACACTTTTAAATTTTACCTTATTTGTTATTTAATTTATATTTTTTCTTATCTCTTTTTACCCTAGCAGGTACTTTGCATATGTATTATGACTTCCAGTTTAATGTTTTTATGGGATTTCTAAGTATAGAGCAAGTGGGATTCTGTATCTATGTTTCTTTTACTTTCTCCTGGCTCTTTTCCTTCTATTTGTTCATTTTGTCCAATTCTGATGTGTTAGTTTTTGCTTTCTCTTGTTATATCTTATTTTAATAGTATCCGTTAGAATCTTGTTTGCTTTCTAATGAGAGACAGAAAGGGAGTGGATCTGGGTAGCAGGGAAGTTGGGAAAGAACCAGAGGGGGTGGGGGGAGGGAAAGCTATAATTAGGATGTATTATAGGAGAACAAAATCTCTCTTTAGTAATAGGGGGGAAAACAAATAGTGATCATACCTTGAAAAATAAAAGAAAATGATCAGGGAATTTTACTACAGAATAAAGATGAAAACGTATGAATTTAGGAGCAGTGAAATAGATTTCTCAGCAGAGTTAACAGCATTCATGTCACACAGCTAGCAATTCTACTATGATTCACAACGATGGTGCTGCTCTAGAAAAGCATATGCAAACGCTGCACTCAAACATATCCACAATCCGTCCTGCCAGGATGAGCAAGGAATCTAACAGTCCCTTGCAAGGTATGTTCTCTACCTCATGACGGCTGTTTAGACTTGGAACTTATATGTCAGCAAAAGAGCAATTAGCCAATGTTAGGACATAATAACGTCCTATGCTTGTAGTAGATGAAAGCTAACTTGGTTTCCTATGAGTCTAAATGTACCAAGAGGAAAAGTCCACTTCACGAGCTCTGTTCTGCTAGAAGCTAATAAGTGGCAAGAAATGAGAAAAGCAACTGACATGCAGCTGGTGATGAGTTGGATACATTTCAGCACACTTCCTGAAGATTTTTATTCCAGGGGTAAAACTACAAACAAGTTTGTGCAAATCAGATAGCAAAAAAAAATCTGAAAGCTGCCTATAGTAGGCATCCTAGACTCTGTGACTTACTAGGTAGGAAATTACTGCTTATGTTTTGGTGAAGCAACCAAGACAGTGTATGATTGTTAGGCAGTATTTTAAAGAGTAAACTTTCCATTACATACCATCTGTCTCAGGGGATAATACTAAATTCTTTTTCATTGCTTTACAAATCCTCCCATAGTCATCATTTCATATGGTACAGCAGCATTCAAGATAAAATATAACATATATTGGAGGAAATTATATCAAAGGTGGACTATTTTCCTCTTGCACAAGAAATTGAAAAATCTAAATGATCAGCAAATTTCTACTTCAGACATTATGGTTGGCAAGTACATTTCTATTTCTCTATGCTATGGACTTTTTAAGCCCTTGATTACAAATGTCTTGACATTAGCTGACTCCTGCTTTCAATTCTCAGCAGATGATTATCATCATCAATATTTATAGACCTGGTTTTGTTTCCGTAGCTCCTATGCTAGATGCATAAGTTTCTATTTACTTCCTACTCTCAAAATTGCATATGTGTGCGTATTCCCAATTTTTATGTTTTGTTTATTACTTACAATATTGCTATAGTTTAGTCATTTTGTAATTAATTTTTATTATTTGAGGGAGAGATGGAAAATTTGATTCCTTTATTCAGACACTGAACTACCATAAAGTATGTAAAGTCCTGAAAAATAAAGCTATAACATCTTTTAATGTCTTCTCTTAAGAACTTTTTCTCCAAAGCAACATAAAGGAAATCATTGTCATAGTTCTGAATCTTAAGTCATCACCCTCAAGTAAACGGAACTTTGACACATCCTCTGTATGTGTAGATGTGTAGATTTTTTTACAGTCTTTAGTCTAGAAACTCCCTTAAAAAATAGCAGTTTCAAGGACAACCAAAAATGAGATTCTGATAATACAGATATGATTAAGCATCAAATGAATCATTAAATTAGAGACCCTGAAAGGCTCCTGCCTTCCTCGGAATTTTTACATTTAGACTTATAAAAAGCAGAATTCACTTTGGGAACTGTTGACCTATGTTGATCTGTGCATTGAGAAAAGTTGTTTATACAAATGTAGATTGATTCTCCCTCATCTAATATCCTTGGGTCTTTCAGATCTGGATTTTTTTTCAGTTTTGGGGTATTTGCATATACATGAGATATCTTGAAGATGGTACCCAATTCTAAGCCCCAAATTCATTTAAACTTCTTATATGCATAACCTGAAGGCAATTTTATGCAATATTTCCAGTGTGCCACCATCCTGACTGTGGCATATATGAGCTCAAGTGTGGAACTATCCACATGACATGTGACATCATGTCAGCACTGGATCAGTTTGGGTTGAGGATTTCAGACTGCAGATTTTCAGAATAGAGAAGCTTTTGAATATCTTATTAAAAGATAAGCTCTTAGAGGAAAGCTTTATAAACCCCAAGCAATAAGAGTTTAGTTCATCACCCACCACCATGATCTTGTAAACAATCCCTTACAGAGACAGGTAAACAATTCTGTTCTTACGTAAGAGCAAAAGAGCCCACTTAAAAGTCCTGGACTCACCTGATCATTCGGAGTGCCAGAGTAAGCCCATTTCACCTTAATGATGTGTAACAGTTGAATACAAAACCCAGGAAACAGAACAAGCCTCCCTCCAAGACCTGTCAATGATTTCACAGGGGCCGTAAGTATTCCCTACCTTTCTGTTGTCACTGCTATTCTATGGACACCTTTTGAAGGCGATCTCACCATCACTATGTAGCTTGCACAAATCTAAAAGTGAACTCTGAAATCTCAACGGAAAAAAATTGCATCATTTTATTTGTTAAATTTTATATATTAATGATAAAATTCTAAGGAATCAGAGTTATAGATCAATACAGGTGATTTCTATATAAAGATTTCAAACCTTAAAAACTATTTTCTTTTCACCCAGAGGTCTCCCCACAGATAGAGAGCCCTGGCATTTTGGCACTCACTACCTGTGGGTGAAAATGCTGTGTAGTGGATTCATGATTCCCCACACTCATGATAATGTGTCTAGTCCAGTCTGTCCATTTTGGTGAAGAAGGTGCTGTTCTGTGTGAACATGCCCTCAGACCACCACTATTCTCCAAGTCACAGCCAGCCAAAGTCGAAGTCACCAGTGGTCCAAGTGTAGTTTAATCCAGGCAGCCATCCTATTGATAAATTTCCAAGTCAGAGACATATCTCATATATAATGCTGATCAACTAAATGCTAAATTGTGGAAACCCTTACATTTCTTTTCATCAGTATTTTCGATATGCTTAGCCTCGGTCCTCAGTTTTGCTGGGAACTGTCTCTAGGAAACGGCAGGGTCACACCGCCTCATTTCCTTTTTCCTTTTTTCTGTCCCTAGGAGCATGAGCAGCTCACCTATTCTTCCACGAGGTCCAAGGCCCCCAGTGTCATCATCACAGGTCTCAAGCCATCCACCAAGTACATATTTCATATCCGAGTGAGGACTGCGACAGGATACAGTGGCTACAGTCAGAAGTTTGAATTTGAAACAGGAGATGAAAGTAAGTTTCACTAAAGGATATAAAGTAAGATGGTAATTTAGGACTATTCCAGTTAACCTGATAATTTAAAACCAGGTGTCCCAGCTTTTAATGGCCCTTCTGAATGGGATGCAGTTCATATAAATACCCACATACTCATTTGAGTTACTGTTTTGACGTTAGTCAATGAATACCTCTTGAAATGCCTTACTCTCAATCATGTGTCACAAATATGTCCCTTTATGCAGAATTTGTCAAACATGCTATTACACAGGATCTTAATGGCTGTGTGATTGTTCACCAGTCCTAGTATTATAATATAATCCTAACGAAAACTTGGAAGAAATCAGGCTGCAAACAAATGGTTTCAGCAGTCAGTTTAAAATATGCACGTTTGGCTTGTTGTCTCAGATCAATAAAAAACAGTGGTCAGGAGACACATTCCACCAACATGTACATTACAAGATTAAATATAGATGCATAGGCTTTATGAGAAACTTGCATTATTTCCACAAGCTCAGCAGACTGAAAACCAAAACCTGAGATGAAGGGAGTGAAGTATGATGTGCATTTTGAAATCTCTTATTCATTATAAATCCAGATATATTAGTGAATATACAACTCCATCATTCTTTCATCTTTGTGGGTTACTAGAGAGTGGCCAACATTACCATCCATGTCTAGTCACTTCAGTCTCTCTTGAAGCTTGGCCTGAGGTCTCAGCACCCAGTTCTTTTCCTGTTCTATAATGACTCCTGTTTTCAGAAATAGTCCTACTTCACCCTCCCAGCCCCAGAATCTTGCTTGACTCCTCTGTTGAGAATCAAAGCCATGTATACCTTCTTGGCACCCCATGAGAGTACATGCCACCAGTCTAGTATTTTTAATTCAAATTTACATTTTCTTCCCAGCTATATAGGTGGTAAATCATGAGAACACAAATGGCCATAACTTTTCAATTTGCTTCTGTATCCTTGGAGCCTCACACAGAACATGAGTGGTTTAGGTGTTCTATACATTGTTATTGGCTAGAATAAATATTATAGTGATGTGTGACTGAGTATGCAACTGTCAACTAATGAACAGCCTATCATCTGTAGCTTAGAAAAAATTAGAATTGATAGCAAGTACAATTTTTACATCAGGCTTCATTTTCTCATTTGACTAGATTTTAAATACATTTCACTTGGCCAATTTTCCTGAGAGTGCATTTATAACTTAATAATTCAGTACTCACAAATGTGCTTTTAAAAGGAAGATGAATTATTTCCCTTGTAAAATAAAAAGAAACAAATAGGTATTAACTTTTCTAAGCTGTGCAGTTAATTTTGGTCAATACTAATACATGTAAATATAAATTAAAAAAAAAAAACCTACAGCCCCCAAATGACAGTGGCCTTTGCTTTATTACTTAGGCTGCACATGACCAGTGGTTAGGGGGAAATGGTCAACAGGATGTGGCAGGGACACTTTTAGGATAAATTTATATTGATTTCATCATATAACTGTATTTGGTGATTGATAAAATATACTCTTAATAACTTTAATGACAATGGCAATATTAAACACCCATGTCCTAAGTATTCTTTTTATTAATTAACTTGATATTTCCCTTAAAATATTTCTAATTCTGCACTGGAGTTTGTATTTGGTCATGTAAAGGAATAGTACATACAATTCCACATTGAGCAATTTACAAAAATCATTTCCTTTAATTCTAAAAGCATTATGGCTCTTTTTATAAACATAATTAGCTGCATCCATAATTGTATACTAGGGAGTGGAGGTAATAGATGAAGGCCATAGCACTGGCTAACAATAGCATCAGAAGACAGTGAACACTGTGCTTTTAGTATTAAAGTGACTTTGATTAGACCCTTGAAAAGATAAAGTATCTGAGAAGAATCTGAAAAATATGTTTGTCTAAATCTGGAGTTCAGGAATATGAAATGGTTCCTAAGTCAATTTACAGCAAACGGAAAAAGCATTTAAAGGCTCATTTTTATTGGACTAGCTCTAAATTGCATTTTAAAACATGTTGTTTATGCCCAGAAGAGAATTCCAGTGAATAATGGCTGGGTAGGATTGGGGTGGGTTTGCCATAATTCAATAATATGATGATATGTACCCCAGTTGATAGCATGTCTTTTCCTCTTCATATTCTCCTAGCTCATGTGTAAATTTTTATAGCTTTTGTTTCTCAAGTAGTATATGAACTATTATGATGTCAACTTTATTACTAAGTTCTCCCCTGTGTCTTCCATTTAATTAACTAACTTTATAATATTCTCATAGAGAATGGGTAGGGGCTGGGTGGATTAGGCTCTCTCTCATTTGATGGCCTACTTCAAGTTTTTCAAAGTAAGTAGAAGAGTTTACTGTTCTGTTCTCCTTTGCTGTATCTATTTTACTTTGTTCAGGCTATAGTTTACTAACAAAAACAATAATATAAGGAATAGACTGATTGTTTTTCAAAATAATAATAATGTTCTTAAACATTAATAGCTACTGTACTCTAAATGATAAAGATATCCAAAGAATAGTTATAGTAATATCTCTTAATCTCCAAAGTCAGTGCTTTCACTTACTTTTTTATTCATTATTTCATCATTAGAATATGCTAATGGAAAGTAGCTAACAGATGTAAAGATTATTAATTATGGTTGCTAGACAATAAAAAACAACTTATTTGAACAAGCTTGGTAGCTTTCTTTTCTCTTCTATAGAACAAAATTATTACATATGTATACATGGAGAGATATATTGGTGATAGAGTAGTAATCGATATTGATTGATAAGTATCTGTTTAGTTGCATACAGAGTAGCATGTTATTTCTTATGTTTTAATGTTAAGCACTGTACCAAGCATATATTTACATATTGTGCCCACTAACAGCATTTATCAGTTGCAAATTTTATACTGGACTTGTTAAGTGCTATGCTTGATCACCTTCCACTTTTGTTAGGATAAAGTAAACAAAATTAGAACAAATTAAACAATAATAGTAAGAAAACAAGAATATAAAATATTTCATGTGAATATTCTTAAGACATTCAGAAACAGTATGGGTGCTAAGAAAAAAGATTTTTCAAAATTGAAATAAATTGATATAATACTACAAAATAACAACAATAAACAATATTCCACTATCTGGTCAAGGGCAGTTTGTTCTAGCTGAGAATGAATCTGTGGAAAATGTTAATTGCCTCAAACATACTATTTATGTCCTTCTAGTCAGAATTCTGAATAGATGAAAATTAAAAACTCACCAATAATTTTATATCCTTAACAATGCTTTAAAACATATCTTATATGTTTTAAGATAATAATTTGTTAAAATTACATATATTTTTAAAAGGTACAGCAATTTTTAAAGATTATAAAATCAAACACTTATTTTATTTAAATCACTGTCTATATTTTTTCACATTCACATCATTTTAGAGTCACAGGATATAACTGTATATGTGCGTATTTAAACACAAAATAAAATATTATCAGATTATAGCTATTTTTAACTTTTCATACACACAAAAAATAATTTTTAAGCTATTCAATGGGAGTAGAATCCATAGTTAAAACCCAATAATATTAGGAAATTGGACTTCTACAAGTAATGATTGGTCATTTACATCTTTTCTTTCCCTAGTTATTTATCCAGGTGACCTGAGAGGGCGAATATAATGTTTTTCCCTGAAAGCATCAATTATAGCTTGCGTTTTTACATTGTGTAAATTTAGGTTTCACCTGTGTAAAGTTAGGCTACATACACAGTTTTGTAGCACAAAAGGCCATCTGTCAGCAATTTTAAATGTACAGTAACTGAGTCTTAATGACTGACTAGTTTTATATATCATGAAATAAACACAAAAAACAGCAGCAGCAGCATTAACAAACTAAGATATGAAATGCTGAATCACAGCAATAGTTTTTTTTAATTCTCTCTTAAACATTTATACCAAAAATGGAATATAGATCTCAATGAATAGACTTAATCACTAAGTGTTTTGAAAACATCTGTAAAAATTAGCTAATTTATTGAAGTCTGATTAGAAGCAATTGATTCATAAGAACAGGGCACTGATGAGAGTGATCCTGAATGTGAAGATACAAGATTGCCTCTAGTTCTGTCATTCCTAATGCATTCTTCATGTTCCTAAGAAACTCATTTTTTTCTATATTCCATCTTGTACAGAGTTAACCCCTAAATCATTGGTGATTAAATAACCATATTTTATTGAGTAAAATATGAATGTCTCAACAAGTAGTCATCTGTCTCCAAATCTAATCTCAATGAACATCATTTTCTTTGTTAATGTGAACTCTGTGAAAGTGGGATTGTTTGGATACTTCAAACACAAAGTTTTAGTAATGTCATCGTATCTCATATTCTTCCACTCTTTCCAACATTCAGAAAACTATTACATTATGAACTTCAGACCAGCTCCCCTATTTCTTGACATAGTCTTGATGAACAAGAAACTATATCTCTTATTTTGAAGGACAAAATGTTTTTCTTGTTAACATGTTTCCTTCTTAAATTTATTTTTGAAACCTCTATTCCATTTGACCCAGTCTTCTAGTTTCAACACAATCTGTACTGCTTCAGTTGCCTAGAATGAAATTAGCTACATCATTATTAAAAGCAGCCAGAAAGTTTGGAATGATTATTAATGGTGGAGCATGAAGCAGGAAGAAGATCAACTGACCCTGGTGGAACAATAAAAAAGTTAATTAATCAACTAGGAGGTGTATTTCATATTTATGAGTCTATTCAGAGGAGGACAAATTCCAGGGTATAACACATTAATATGGAATCATCTCCAATCAATAGCACATTTTCTAAGTTTGCAGCTGTAACTCTGTAAAGACAAAAGTCAGTGGAAAAGACTTCCCTAGCATCAGACTATCAAAATACAAACTAGTCTATCTTATGAAGGAATGAAGGTTCATAATGACAAGAATTTGCACTAAAGGTAGAAGGACCCTTATTTGCTAGATGATAAAGAAACTTCCTGAC